CTTCCCATCTCGTTTTCAGCCACACCATGATGGCAGATGCTTCCGTTGCCTGGTGACAGAACTCTGTAACCACAGACTCCCCTGCCAGCACACAGTAGTCACCAGCACACCGTCACCTGCACACAGTCTCCTGGGTTGATCCGAAGTGATTTTCAGGGGCATCAACCCCTCCTCCTGTCCTCCTCTGCCCCCTTCCCTGCCCTGTTGGCAGGGGCTCCAAGAAGGTTAGTTAATTTTAGTATTAGCCTCAGAAAGGTTAATTAGGAAGGCAAAATTTTTAAAAGGTGTAATTAATCCCAGAGCCAAACAAAAGAGTGTGGATTATCTGCATTACTACAGTCTTTGAGTAGGGCGTAGCCAAGGTTAAGTAGACTTGTGCAGACTCACTGTGTAGACAAGGACGGGACAGGTAGGAGCCTCTCTGAGAGAGTCAGAGACATCCCTGTGTCCTGTCCAGGATGGCTCTTCCCAGGCTGCTGTGGTAACCCCTCAAGTAGCTTCTAGACGTTTTTACCCACTCACCCTTGACTCATTGTCATTCCGTTTAATCTAAATGGGACATCAGAGCCACATCCCACTTAGAAACTTCTAAATGTGCCTAAAGGTGAAGGCCAAGCCCCTCAATGGAGATCCCCCACAATTGGGCCCCACACAGCCTGGCTGTTTTTCCTTCTCACCACCCTCGGGCTGTCACCCAGGCTCCTTGTTACAAAGTATGCTGTTCTTGGAAGTCTCAGCCTGAATGACACTTTGGGGGCTTTCCTGTTGACACTTATCTTATTTTCTTTTAATGATCTGTATTCTTTTCTTGTAACAGAGACACTGAGCTCTTCAACGATACTCTTGAAATATTTTTTCTCTCCTTTCCCTTTCCTTGACTTAAGTCAAGCATCCTGCCCGCTTTGCTGTGAGAGATGGTTGATACTTGTTGAGAGAAATTCATCAGCGCTGGCTTTCAAAGGTGATGGCAGTGGACTTTGCTCATTGAAACGCAAGCTCACCCAGCCTCCCCGGAGGAGTGGTGAATCCCGAGTGGAATACCTGAGGTCGTGACTGTTGTGACCCCTCTGCCTTGTAGCTGAGGCTCTGAGGCAGGTGGCTTCCCGAACAGAGCTGAGATGACTCAACCTGAGACTGACAGCTGCTGGTCTCTGCTTTGGCTGATTTCCCCCTTTGCAAATGGTTATTGGCAATTGAAACTGCAAATCTACTAGCTGCTCCCCTATGTAAATTGCATTTACATTTAAATTGTGCATTCTTCCCAAGGATGGGGTTAGTAAATAACCGCCAGATTAGGCTTGAGCAGAGGAAATTGTGCCCCATATCAAATCTGAGACTGAAGTGACATCTGGCTTTTACTATTTCCATTATTTTGGTTTAGTAACAGCATGCAGCATTAAGGGAAGAGAAAATTGGATCTACATTTTAATGAAAGGAGGAAACTCTGGATTTAGATACCTTATCATATTGAATACCTAGTCGATTGGCAATTAAACTTGCCTCAAACCTGGGATAAAATGTCTCCACAGCTATGGAGCGAATGAAAACAGAACAAGCCAGTGCCCAGAACCACACGGATGAGATTGACAGGAAGGCTGTGCACATTGAAGCCAAATACTTCAGGATTTCACAGGCCACAGGAATTCTCAGATGGAGCAGTGCTGGCAATAGCAACATGAATATGCATGAGGGGAGCTTGAGAGGATGGTCTGCCTGAAGACAAGCATACAGGACAGGGAGCTCAACCCAGAGATGTTTGAAGTCAGCTGAGTTTAGCCCTGCTGGTTTCAAATTCCAGGGGTTTGACCAAGAAAATATCTCAAAAATGCCTGCCTCCTTCCAACAGTCTCACTGCTGGAAACGGAAGCGATTCCACCTGCTGGCTGATTTTTGTTGAAAGCAATTCTGGGCCATGTAAACAAAATGCTTCCGCATCCTAATAAGGCAAGCCTATCATTTATTTGCTTTGATTGAAACAAATGTGTCAATTTTCTAAGTCTTTGTCTGGTGAATTCAGTGTTTGGATGCTGATAAAGGATCACATCGCATGTTTGGAAACTGGTGCTCTATTCAGAACTCCGGGGTCACAGTGTGGGAGCACTCAGACTTCCTAGCCATCCACCCCAAGATGCTCCACTATTTCCCAGACCTGGAAAAGGCTGGTAACAGGACGACATAAGAAGTGTAAAGGGAGACACTGAGACCGACAATTAATAAATGGGACCTCCTGAAACTGAGAAGCTTCTGCAAGGCAAAGGACACAGTCAACAAGACAAAAAGGCAGCCCACAGAATGGGAAAAGATAGTCACTAACCCCACATCTGACAGAGGGTTGATCTCCAAAATTTACAAAGAACTCAAGAAGCAAGTCTCCAGTACACCAAAGGATCCAATCAAAAAGTGGGGTACAGAAATAAATAGAGAATTCTCAATAGAGAAGTCTAAAATGACTGATAGACAATTAAGAAAGTGCTCAACATCCCTAGCCATCAGAGAAATGCAAATCAAAACAACTCTGGGATACCATCTTACTCCTGTCAGAATGGCTAAAATCAAAAACACCAATGACAGTTTATGCTGGAGAGGATATGGAGAAAGGGGAACACTTCTTCACTGCTGGTGGGAGTGCCGACTTGTACAGCCACTTTGGAAATCATTATGGAGATTCCTCCGGAAAATGGGAATCAGTCTACCACAAGATCCAGCAGTTCCACTCTTAGGCATATACCCAAAAGATGCACAAGGACATCTGCTCCACTATATTCATAGCACCATTATTTGTAATAGCCAGAACCTGGAAGCAGCCTAGATGCCCCTCAACTAAAGAGTGGGTAGAGAAAATGTGGTACATTTACACAATGGAGAACTACTCAGCAGAAAAAAAAATAGAATCTTGAAATTTGCAGGCAAATGGATGACACTAGAAGAAACCATCCTGAGTGAGGTAACCAGTCACAAAAAGACAAAAAATGGTATGTGCTCACTCATATATGGATTCTATACATGGAACAGGGGATTGTCAGCCTACAATCCCACTACCAGAGAGTTTGGGAAACAGGGAGGACCCTAAGAGAGATATTCATAATACCCTCGAGAAGAGGAATGGGATAGAATCTCCTGAGTGGATTGGGAGCATGGCGGAGAGGGGAGAAGGAACTGAGAGAAAGAGAGGGGGAGAGGAGAGAAGGACATGGGAAAGCAGGGAGGTTGAGTGGGGGGGAGGATAGTGAGCAGGATGAGAGATACCATAATAGAGGGAGTCATTATAGGTTTGAGGAGAGATCTGGCACTAGTGAGATTTCCAGAGATCTACAAGGATGACACTAACTGGCAATCTAAGCAATAGTGGAGAGGCTACCTTAAAAGTCCTTCCCAATAATGAGATTAATGACTACCTTATATGCCATCCTAGAGCCTTTCTTCATCCAGTGGCTGATGGAAGCAAAGGCAGATACCAACAGTTAAACACTGAACTGAACTCCTGGAACCCAGGCACAGAGAGGGAGGAGTGATGAGCAAAGGGGTCAAGACCAGGCTGATGAAACCCACAGAGACAGCTGACCTGAACAAGGGGGAGCTCATGGACCCCAGACTGAGGGCTGAGGCCAGCAGGGGACTTATCCAGATCCCCTAAATTTGGGTGTCAGTGAGGAAGCCTCAGCAGTCTATGGGGCCTTTGGTAGTAGATCAGTATTTATCCCTGGTATACAAATGGGCTTTGGGAGCCCATTCCACATGGAGGGATGCTCTCTCATCCTGGACACATGGGGGAGGACCTAGGCCCTGCCCTGAAGGAAATGACAGACTCTGGAGATTCCCCCATGGAGGGCCTCACCCCCCCTGGGGAGAAGAGTGGGCATGGGGGGACTGGGGCGCTGGTGAGGGTGCTGGGGCAGGCAGGCTCCTCAGTCTCCCTTAAACCCTTTCAGATGGCTCCTCTTCCCCTGGTGTTTAATGAACACACTGTGTTTTCTCACAGTTACATTTTGTCTCACATAATTGTTTTGAAAACCACAGCAGTTTTCCTTGCAAGACTTCAGCTACTAGTATGATGCTCCTTCCCTAAAATAAAGCAATAAGATCTATGTTTTGCAATGTAATGATAATATATGTCTCAGCTATCTTGTGGGTATCCAGAGAATGGAAGGAGACATGAATGTGTTTTAAAGAGGCCCTCGCCATGAGACTTCTGTCCCAATTCTTCTTTCTTTTAATTAAAAGACAAAACAAATCCATTTATCTATTGCATATGCATGTGTGGTATGTTTGGATACTTTCATGCCACAGAATGGAACTCAAGCCGTCAGGCTTAGTGGCAAGTATCTTTACCCAATAAACCATCTTAACAGCCCCAGATTCTTCTTTTTCTTTCTTTTTAAATTTTATTTATGCATTTTTTAAATGTATGAAGACTCTGTCTGCATGTTTGCCTGCACACCAGAACAGGGTGCCAAATCCCACTATAGATGGTTGTGAACCACCATGTGGTTGCTGGGAATTGAACTCAGGACCTCTGGAGGAGCAGCCAGTGCTCTTTGCTTATTGCTGAGCCATCTCTCTCTCCCTCCTCCTCCTCCTCCTCCTCCTTTTTCTTTTTCCTTTTGGTTTTTTGAGACAGGTTTTTTTTTGTAACTGTCTTGACTGTCCTGGAACTTGCTTTGTAGACCCTCAAACTTATAGAGATTCACCTACCTCTGCCTCCTGAATGCTGGGATTAAAGGCGTGAGCCACCACATACGGCTCTTATTAATTGAAAAGTCCTTCGTGTGGGTCCAAGTCTCTTCCACTTCCCTATTTCCCTGTACTTCTGATGGTGGCCTGGATGCTGGCTGGCATTTGTTTGACTTCCAGTTTCTCTTCCACATTGCTTGGCACCATAGAGTCCCAGGCAGCTTACTCCCTGTACACGATGGCTGACCAATGCCTCCTTCGGCTTGAACTTAGCTTAAATCCATCAGAGTTGCTGGGCTGGAGGTATGCTGCTGATGTCACATTGTCAGTATTGTGATTGTCACCATATCTAACAGGCAAAGAAGGGACAGTTGTTCATGGCAACCCGTGGGTGAGGCTCACCCAGCTGAGGTAACCAGCCTGCCTGCATAGACTTCAGACAACCATGTAAAGGGGTGAGTGGATTAATCATCCAGTTGGATTCCATTTGAATATTTGTCTGCCATATGTGTGTTCCCTCTAGGCAGTTGTCTAATGTCACTTGAAATTGATGAAAACTCTTTGGAAGGTTATTTTTGGGAAGTCAGAGAAACAACAGACAGCAGTTCTCTGGAACAAATGTCACTGGATCTACCTAAGTGTGCCTTAAATAAATAAAAAAAATAAACAAAAATCTGAGCTGCTGAGCCACAGTGCCCTTTTCCTTTCCATCATTAGACTGATTTCTGGAAAGGTTCATCCAGCTCCCCAAACACATGGAGAAGGTGGAAACTAATGTTAACCAAGACCGTGTTTGCAAAAAAGAAGCATAGTTTGAAGCACAAAATTGCCCAAGCAAGAGTTTCTGAGTGCCCTGTCATAGGTCACACAATTCCCTGGCTTTTTGAGCTTGTTTATGGTGTGTTTCCTAATTTGATGGAGCACTAATAAAAGCAAAGTCATTTCTTAAAATGGGACTCCATCTTCCCGGGCTGAGTGCTTGGCTTATTTTCCTGCAATATTAAAATCCTTGAAACCTGTTAGGAACAAGGTGCAGTAAACAAGTCCTGTAAGGCAAGCCTATGAAAAGGGCTCCCAGAGGAGTGACTCTGCCTTTCTTCACCTCATTCAGGGGGTGATAGAGTCAGTTTTGGGGCTCGGAATCAAGAGATAAAAGGTATAAAATAATTGACTTGAGGTTGTACAGGTTTAGACAGATCAAGATTTCACAAACCAATATAACCCAATCTGTGTGGAGAATTAAGACTTGGCTTTTTCCAAATGTCAGTCCATTAACCACAGTGTTTGCTAGTGCATAATTAAAAAAAAAAACGCTGTTAACCTCAGTAGGTAAAAAAAAGCCTTGCCTATTGACCCATATAGTGGAGGAAGAGAACTGATTAACAAATTGTCCTCTGACCCACATACGTGTGCTGTGGTGCCCACCCATCTACACAAGTGCATATGCTCATGTGCACAAAATACATGTAAATAAAAAATTTTAATGCCAGACGGGTGTGGGTGTTGGTGGCACACACCTTTAATCCCAGCACTCAGGAGGCAGAGGCAGGAGGATCTCTGTGAGTTTGAGGCCAGACTGGTCTACAGAGCGAGTTCCAGGACAGCCTCCAAAACAATACAGAGAAACCTTGTCTCGAAAACAAAACAAAATTTAAGACTTTCAAAACCTGCATCTTATTGTGCTGAGTGTTAAGCTGCAGATGTGAAAACCATTACAGCTTGCAATCTCTGAGCTCCCAGAAGCCTTGAGGGGGGGCAGCAAGAAATACCATAACTTTTCTAGCTCACTGAAAACAAATCCCTCTCACTTCTTTCATATTTAATTAACGGATTATCTTCCGGGGTGCTGGCGTCCTGAATAGCGTTCCAGACCAGTCACAGAAATATTCTGTTCATTTTACCCAGGTAAATTTTCTTACAGTAGTTGAGTAGAAAAGTTAGAAATCACTGATGCTCCCAAGTTTTGCTTCGAGGCTGCCACACCCAGCAGGACTCTGGCAGAGAACGGAAGTGTCAATATGTGCCTTAGCGCCTATGCTGTGGTGTTTATTTGTAAAATTGTCTGAATGAAGTTAATATTTTCCTGCTTCAAGGTGTCCACTGTCAGAGGAGAGGCCACGTTTCTATCAGTATGGTGGATGTGAAGTGTCTGAGTGACAACGAATTGCGAAAGCAACTTAAGAAGCTTGGATTCTCACCTGGCCCAATAATACGTATGTTTACCGCTAATATTAGGGGGTGTCTGTCCATTTATTGCTTACAAACTACTTCCAAAGTTTAAACCAGAAAAGTACAAGTAGAAGGAACATATGCAGTAAAAACCACTAAAAATACAAACAGGAAAACAGAAAGCCATATGGAGGGAAGATGTAAGAGACAGCCCCCAGTCCTTACAGATTGGGAGGGAGATGGTTTTTATTCGTGCTTTGTTTCAATGCTGAAAATCCAATTATTACATTAGTTATCTTGGGTTTTTGGATGTGCCCTATATTTTCATTATCTCTATGGCTATAGACAACCATGTCCCACTCGCTCCCAGTACCTGGTTATTGATAATCTGTAGGCATTCCTTGAGTCTATAAAAGAAAGAGTGACTTCAGTGACTGTGGGGTCTAACTCACTGTTAAAAGCCACAATTATCCAATAATGTAAGGTCCTAGAAGAAACGTCTGGTTATAAAATAATTTCTGAACTCTGTGTATGCAATAAGGAACAATTTAATTCTCCATGTCGTTTCTCAGCTTCCACCAGAAAAGCGTATGAAAAAAAGTTAGTGCAACTGTTGGTCTCGCCTCCCTGTGAATTACCTGCCATGAGGAGACTTAAAAAGCTGCATGGCTGTGAGGACAGCGATGACAACGAAGGTACCATTGTCTGTTGTGCTGCCAGATGGCAGCTTCACATTTATTAATACCCTGTCCAGCATGACTTACACACTGTAAATGATGTGCATACTGACCTGTGAAATAGCCCTGTGGCCTCTTTTTGCACAGAGCCTACAAAATAAGCCCTTAGGCTGCAGAGGAATCTGAACAGCAACGTCTGTATTCACACGGAAGACAGGGCTGGATAAGATGTTGGGGGAAGGACTAATCAGTGTGGATTCCTTAAAATCAGGTCCTATAGGCAGGGTTCCAGCCTCCCGTGAGGTCTGAAACTGATACATTTCACGATGATTTTCTTTGGATTAGGTGATTTTTTGCCCAGAAAGAAGGATGAATCAGCTTGTGCTTCTCTGAACTTCTCACATACAAACTGCTGACAATAGTTCTGGAGGGTGGGTGGGAAGCTGTGGTCCCTGGAATCCCTTTCCTTTGCTTCCAGTGGCCTTGGCTCCAGCATGCACATTATGTAAAGCAGCATAAATCATACATCCACAGTAATTTCTGTCTCCTGGGTTCTCAGAGGATGGCCTTGGAGGTCCCCACTATATATCCCATTTCCTAGGAGTCTCCTGTGAGCCCAGAGAAATAGCAGCTAATGTGGCCACTCATGTCTTTTGGGCAGGATGAACATCAAGTCCTTTAATCCTCACAACACTTAGCTAAAGTCAGAGAGCTAGAATGATGCGGTGGTTTGAAAATAAGTAGCCCCCAAAGAAAGTGGCACTATTAGAAGGTGTGGCCTTGTTGGAGTAGATGTGGCCTGGTTGGAGGAAGTGTGTCACCGTGGGGGTGGGCTTTGAGGTTTCTTAAGCTTAAGCTATGTCCAGTGACACAGCTCACTTCCTGTTGCCTGAGGATTAAGATGTAGAATTCTCAGCTCCTTCTCCAGCAAGATGTCTGTCTGCATGTCACCATGTCCTACCGTGATAATAATGGACTAAACCTCTGAACTATAAGCCAGTTCCAATTGAATGTTTTCCTTTATAAGAATTGCCATGGTCGGGGACTGGAGAGATGGCTGAGAGGTTAAGAGCACTGGCTGCTCTTCCACAGGTCCTGAGTTCAATTCCCAGCAACCACATGGTGGCTCATAACTATCTACAATGTGATCTGGTACCCTCTTCTGGCCTGCAGGCATTCATGGAAGCAGAATATTGTTTAATAATAAATAAATACATCTTAAAAAAAAGAGTTGCTATGGTCATGGTATCTCTCTTCATAGCTATAAAACAGTGACTAGGATAAGAGACTAGCCCCAAATCACTTCACTGAGGAGTGGTCCTCGGAGATGAGTATACAATGGGATATGGCATGAAGAGCCAGACTACTTAGTTTCACCACCACTCTCTGTCTAGCCTCACATAGCAGGAATTCAATGTATAGGGTTAGGGTAAAAAAGGCACAGCTGCCTGTGCTGGAGGTGTAGCTTATCATAGAGCACTTGCCTGAGTGCACAGGGCCCTGAGAGCCACCCGGGCTCACAGGCACACACACACACACACACACACACACACACACACACACACACACACACAGTGACGGAGCTGAGACTTGAACTCAGGACTGCCACTTAAAATTGTTCTTTCTACCTCGTTGCCTATACTTGACGAACACACTGTGTTTTGGAGCATGAGTGATCCATACAAAAGGATAATTTTCCATACCAATTAACAGCTCAATTAGACAGTGCAAGTCCTCTCTGGAAAAGAAAAAAAATCTTGATATTGGATGGACGCAGAGATTTCTTCAATGGGCACAGCCAGCTCATTTGGAAAAGACCACAGGATTTAGGGATAGTACGTAGGCCAGTGTACAAGCAACAGTGGGCAAGTAGCTGTCTCAGATGGGGGTCTTTGCTGTTTCCTGCCCTCAGAAGAAGCTTAGGGAACTAGTTCATCCTCAGAAACTGTTCAGGGCTGCCATGAAGTCAGAGCTGTGGCCAGCTCAAGCTAGTTCAAGCCTAAGGTCCCCTTCCCTGTCCCTGCAGTGCCATTGGAATGAACCCGAGTTTATGTGGGACCCTTCTGTCTCAGCTTGGACCTAGGTCACAAAAGCACCTGCTGGGGTAAGGAGTAGGACTGGAAAGGACAGCAATGATAGGAAACTCATTAGGTCACTCAAACAACCAGTGATTAGATTTTGTTTTTTCATTTTTACTCACTGTTTTGGGCAATCGGTGAACTTAACTTTAATTGTTCAGCCTCTTTTTCTTTCTTTCTTTCTTTCTTTTTTTTTTTTTTGAGGGGGCGGGTGGGAGGCTTTGATTATGTAACCCAAGGTCTGGAATTCACTATACAGACAAGGATGGTCTTGGACTTGCAGTGATCCTCCTGCCTCAGCCTCACTACTGATGGAATTACAGATGTGTGATTACACACCTGGCCACCAACCTCTTCTCAAACTTCTTGGATATCCCACTTGAAATGTATTGTCCTAATGTGGTGGACTATGTCTGAAATCCCATCCTTGCGGAGGCTGAGTCAGGAGGGCCTCAGCTGGGAGGTGGAGCCTGGAATAAATAGTGAAACCCTGTCTCAAAACAGCAGAAGAAAAATAAAATGCCTCTGTGAAATGCAAGGCTGAATGCTCATCAGCACGGCGTCCTCCTTAGATTCCCAAAGTGTCACTGTGGGCTGCTTTCTGCTGCTGGCTGTCCCTCTACTCAGAAAGCCACTGGCGTCCCCTTCTTCAGGGTGCTGTTCTAAACAGGAGGCAGAAAGTCCTTCCTCTCCTGACATTCAGAGACACACAAAGCTCACAGCTGGTTTGCAGGGACGATGCTAGACTGCAAACAGCTGCCCAGAGAGCAGCCCTCAGAGGCATGCAAACATGACAGTCAGTCATGTCCCCCAGGAAGCCTGAGCGCATTTCCCTCAGCTCCTGAAGCTCTGGAGGAAGACTCTTTTCTCCATAAGGAAAAGGAGGGCACTGTGTGTTTCTTCCCCCATGGAAGCACACCGTGGCTGAGGAAAAAAAAAACCCACTTAGTGTTTATTCTGCTATCTTGTATGTTCACATGGCCTATTTTCTTTTTGTTTCCCCAGATCCAAGAGTAAATATCATTTTGAAAGGAAATATCAAATTCTCAAAGGACAGAGCCAAAGAATGCAAAAGAGTATGTACCATTCTAACGCGTGAACAGGTCTACACATGTGTTAAACACAGGAATTTGCATTTTCAGATATAAAGAGGTTCACTGTGTTTTGTTAGAGTCCTGAGGCCCTAGTCTAAAGCTGATCTTGTAATGAAAAATTTTTGCCTTTTGAAATGATTTTTGTGTTCTAGCCAAAGCGCGGAGTAACGTTGTCCCTTCTGCCCCATAGTGACAGTCACCATGTACCCCACCAGCTTCACGCTTCACAGGTACCATTCCCTTAGCATTCACACACTGAAGTGGTTCTAGGCCCACTATGAACACAGGATAAATGTGAGTCTCTAGTCTCCTCTCCTTGACAGCCAGATATTGAGATGCGGTTTCTACCTCCATCACAGGGAGGCTGGAGGCCAAGCATGTGAGGGGGGCTCCCTCAGGGGAGACCCGGCTGGTTTAGGGGCCCTGGCCACTGCTTGTTTGGGAATGCTCTGGGGAAACCAGTTAGCTGTAGCCGACAGATCCTGCCTGCCCTGGGGACTGTCAGAGAAGGCAGGCCTGTGCCATCAGCATCTAGCACGGCATGGAACTGGCCTCCCTGAGGAATTCTCACACTGGCTTCTTTCTCTGCTCTATTTTGAGGTCTGCCTTTTTGCTTGCTGTCTTCCTGTCTAAATGCCCTTATGCTTGAGGCCTCTAGCTCTGGCTCTTTCCTCTTGTCTTCTGGGCTTCCCTTGGCACCTCCTTCTGTGATAACTCCTCCAAGACCCTTCTCGGGCACTGGCCTGTGACAGGTTGGTTTACTCGGTCTCTAAACTTCCCTCCTCCCTGCATCCAGTCAGCAAATGATCCCTCACCATCATGAGTATTTTGCAGGTTGGAGGGATGTGTTCATTCCTGGTCACATGGCCGTTCCCCTGCTACTGTGCAGGGTGGATGCGAGGAGCAAACGCATTCCCACCCCCACGCAGCCGCACAGGAGGCCTCTACTTACCGCCCACCATCACTGTCCAGGCTGGAGACCTCTGGTGGAATATCCTCTCCTCATAGCTCCTTCTATGTAGCAATTCCCAAATTCTAGAGTTCAGAACCGTGTGTTTTGTTTTGTTGTTGTTGTTTACCTCATTACAGGCAGGGCCAGGTGGTTCATACCTTTGATCTCAGTACTCAGGAAACTGAAGCAGGAGGACAGTGAGCTCCATGCTAGCCTGGGTTACACGGCAAGACCCTATCTTAAAAAAATACCAACCAATGGCCGGGCGTTGGTGGTGCACGCCTTTAATCCCAGCACTCGGGAGGCAGAGGCAGGCGGATCACTGTGAGTTCAAGACCAGCCTGGTCTACTGAGCGAGTTCCAGGACAGCCTCCAAAGCCACAGAGAAACCCTGTCTCGAAAGCTGGGGCCGCCCATGTAACTCACCAGTAAACACTGGCTAGCGTATACAAGCTCTGGGCTCCATCCAAGACTTCCGCCCTGTGGAGCCCCTCTTCCTCCTCTCCACCTCCCCCACCTCCACCTGCATTGTCACTGCTTTATCTGAACGATCGTGAAATCTCTCCAAGTGGGTTCTGTCCCTGACTCTCCCCAGAGGCTTAGCAACACCACTCACTTGTGACCCTGAGACACTGGGGTACTTCCAGTTCCCCTACCCCTCCTCACCCAGTGGATGCAGCTGCTGTGTTCTCTACAGCATCTCCTGCGCCTCCATGCCAGCTGGTCCTTGAAGGTGGAGTCCCTTTCATTCTCATGCCCTGCTCTTTTTCTCCCTGTTAAGATCCTGTGATTTGTAAGAGATGCTTCAAAGGCCACTCGAGTGAATCCCTTTGAAATGACACTGTATCCCATTCATTAGCCCAGCCGTCACAGGGTCTTGCACCTGACAGCAGCCTAAAATGTACTCCCCAAGTCTATCACAGTTTTAGCAACAAATAGGTTAGTTGCAATTGGATTCTGGGACTTAAACTACCTGCAGAATTTAAATACATGAAAAGACACCCCGGGTAAACAGGACTACAGCGGCAGCCTCCCATTCAGAAACAGTTCAGATTTGATGAAGTGATTCTGAGCGAGCATAGCATTTTCTAAAAGGATTTTTAAAAAGTCTAATAAATGGCTCTCTTAAAGAATCCTTTCTATTCACTAAACCCCAGTTCCTCAGAAAACCCTTTTGTCTAGATCTTACAGAGATGGTCACAGTAGAAAAAGCAACCTTCCTACTTGAAAAACCCCTAAGAGAGGAAGCGGCGGCCCGCGGTCTTTGCTTTACATAACCCGAGACAAAGGTGCATCGATATTTTCAACTGGTAATAGAACCAGATGGAAAGTTGGTGATGGCACAGAATCTTTTAATGCGAAGGGTTTATATAAGCCATTTCGATGCTCCAAAAGGGCCTCCACGACATCTGTTCCACTTTATATCTGGAAGTAAATGTAAATAAGCACTCAGGGTTCCTTGTAAAGGTGGTAGGAAGTGTGTTTATGTAAACACTTGCTGTACACACTATATGGAGTAGTCGTCTGCACCAAATAATCTTGTCAGTGCCTAAGAAGGGTAGGTTTGTGTTTGTTCAAAACACTCTCCTTTCATTTTGGTAAGTCCCTAGCGAAGTGCAGCCATCTTGAGACTTGGACTATGACAGTTGCAACAGCCTGCTTAACATAGTGAATTTGTATTTTGTCAAACCATGTGCAAAACCATGTACAGGTTTGGTCATGAAGACCACTCAGAAAGCCAGATCAGGGATAGGGTGCAGTTCAGTGGTAAAGCGCATGTCCAGGAAAGGTCCCCGTGTAGAGGCTGGCAGCACTGTCATCAGACAGGGACCAGACGTCTTTCTAGTGTTGGGGTGAGAGCTAGGTTTGCATGTACAACTCAGGCTCCCTGTCTCTTCCTTCAAAGGGATTTACAGTAGCTAACAGAGCTAACAGCCTTCACTGGAAGCTTGTGTAAAGTGGGATTTGAGTAAGGTGCCAGTGTGATTTGTCCCTGAACAGGATGAAGAAAGAGTGGGGGTTCCCAGTCAGGGAGACTGGAACGACAAGAGTAAGGCAGGGCTGTCTCGGTCAGAAAAGGATACATGGTCATCTGGGGTCAGTTCCAAGGATTGAAGTATTTGTATGTGTGCACCTCACCTTGAGAGGGATGCTGCAGCCAAAATCCAGAGGGCAGGGGGCAAGCTGGTAGGGCGTTATGGAATATTAACTTAGGATGTGTTACATTCACTTATGCTGTGGAACGTTCATTTAATGATGCAAAGATGTGTTGCATTCATTTTTACGTAGGAAATTTATTGGGGGAAGGGAAGGGAGTCAGGGAAGGAAGCAGAGAGAAGGGAGAGAGAAGAAAGAATGAGAGAGAGAGAAAGACAGAGAGAGAGAGACAGAGAAAGTGTGTTCTTTTATGCTGCATTTGTTTAACTCTGTGAAGCTGTGTTACTTTGCCTGTATAAAATACCCGATAGGTCTAATAAAGAGCTGAACAGCCAATAGGAAGGCAGGAGAAAGGATAGGTGGGGCTGGCAGGCAGAGAGAATAAATACGAGGAGAAATCTGGGACGAGATATCTAGGAGCAAGAGGAGGAACAAGAAAAGATGGGGTCAGCCACACAGCCAGCCACGGAATAAGAAGGAAATAGAGCAGGGGCCTGGGTGGTGGTGGCGCACGCCTTTACTCCCAGCACTCAGCAGGCAGAGGCAGGCGGATCTCTGTGAGTTTGAGGCCAGCCTGGTGCACAGGAGTTCCAGGACAGCCAAAGTTGTTACACAGAGAAACCTGGTCTCGAACACCACCCCCCACAAAAAGAAAGAAAGAAAGAGAAGAAGAAGAAATAGAGGAAGGTAAAAGCCCAGAGGCAAAAGTAGGGGGTGGGTAATTTGAGTTAAGAAAAGCTGGCTAGAAACAAGCTAAGCTACGGCCAGGCATTTATAAGTAATAATAGGGTTCCTGTGCATTTATTTTGGGAGCTGGATGGCCTGACCTCCCAAAGAGTAAAGAGCAACAAAACAACCAACAACAGTAGGGGGGTCTTTCCTCTGTCTGACTGTTCCTCTGTCTGTCTGTCTGTCTGTCTTCCTCTCTGTTGTGTGTGTGCCTCTCTGTGCGCGTGTGTTGGAGTTCTGCTGCTCCTTCTGAAGTATCCATGTTTCTGCCCAGAGAGAAGCTGCTCTTGGTGGCCAGAACCCCAGTGTCTCTGCTTCATTTACCACCTTTCCTACATATTTCACCCCAGGTTTCTCACATGCACCCCATGCCTAGGAATCCACTTTTCCAGTCAGCCTCCCCAGCCCTTTGCCCAAGAGCTTTCTCTCTAGGTTGTAAAGTGTTGACGTTAGATTGTTTCATCTTTGCTTTGAGTTCAGTTCAACTCCAGGCATATGAAGAGGGACTTCCTTGTCCCCACTGGCCTCCTTGGAAGGAACCTTGGTCCTACACTGAGGTAGATGGTCTCTTTCTCTTATTTTCTATGCCATACCTGATGTTTTACCTCTTAGACAGACATTACAATATTGAGAGACAGTGCTTTGGTCATAATGAGTATACACCAGTTCAGAAGACAGAACTTCTGCCCAGGTTCAGCCTATCAGCTAAGTGTCACTTCTGGACATAGGACATAGGACATCTGCTTGAAGAAGAACATGGGTGCAGAGAGAGGCATAGTTTCTATGCTGAAGAAACCTTTCTGTTTTTGAGACAGCATCTCACTATACAGCCCTGGTTGGCTGGAATCAGATGTGTGATTAGGCTGACCTTGAACTCACAGAGATCCACTTGCCTTTGTCTCTTGAAGTGCTGGGCATAAAGGTGTATATCGCCATGCCCAACTATGAAAAAACTTTAAAATGTGCTCTAAATGCAAAAAGTCATATCAAAAACGATGGGTGCTAGGGACAGACTGCCAGGGCTCAACCCCAGCTCTGGCTCTCACTCTCTCTCTCTCTCTCTGGCTAAGTCCCTGCTCTTGCTGTGTGTAAGCTCACCGCCTGTAAGTAGGCTAATAATGGTTTCTGCCTTGTAGTGTGTTGTGGAGGTAGAAATCAAGCATATAAATCAGACTGGGGGTATAGCTTGGAGCAGAGTAGTTATGCCATCTAATAAAAGATACTTAGCTACAAATGAGGGCTATTGTTTTTGTTAGCAGAATTGGTCTATAAAAAGCATTCTATTTAATTAGTTGCAATACACAATAACACAGTAAAAAAAATAAGGTGATGGAAATAAGATCTTCCGTACTGAGCTCAGAATGTTGCAGAATATAACTTATCAAAATGCTGAGAGGAATATTTATATAAGTAAATACTCAGGCATAATTAAAGACTGCTTTCTGTATGCCACGGAGGCAGGCTGAATAATTTTGAACTTGTATCAATATACAAATTATCTTAGACAGAAATGCAAAAATAATTTTACATATATATCAATATGCAAGATTCTACAACAATGTAAATTGTCTATAATTAATAGTAGCTAAAATAGTTTACAAGTAGATACACTAAGCTACCATACTATCCTATCTTATCTATTCCCCCTTTTTATATATCAAACAAGATATTATTATGACCCCAACCCTATAATAAATTATAACCAACCCTGAGAAAAGCCAAAACCATCCATCTCAACTATTGGGAGACGGGAAGGTGTTATTTTCTTAGAATTATTTCCAGATGTCTTGGGGGCAACAGTATCTCCATGGGATCCTGTAAAAAAAAAAGAAACTAAAAAAAATGGTTAAGACTCAAGAGGAGCCGGGCAGTGGTAGCACACACCTTTAATCCCAGCACTCAAGAGGCAGAGGCAGGTGGGATCTCTGTGAATTCGAGGCCAGCCTGGTCTACAGAGTGAGTGCCAGGAAAGGCTCAAAAGCTACACAGAGAAACCCTGTCTCAAAACACACACACACACACACACACACACACACACACACAGACTCAAGAAGACTAGCTGTAACATTTGTAGCCAGTCTCTGCATAGCTGGTAAGGCTTATCTGAAGTTCTGGCTAGAGTGTTGTAAGAAGGTGGACCATCTCATCTAGGCAATTTGGAATTGTCTTGAGCAGTTTTTAGTCCAAAGCCGTTGGCATCATTATGAACCAAGTGGAATTGTTGTTGTGGGACCCCATCTTCTTTCTGGAGACTTTAGAGATTGCTGTTAGGAAAATTTATTGTTCACTGTGGAAAACTTAATCATTACGAATATCAAAATAGAAAGTTAAAATTTTTTTTGATAGATGTTCACTCAAAGAAAAGTACCATAGAGACGAAAAAAAGTATGGGAAGAAGTAGAATTTTGGAGAGATAACAGAGTTTTGACAATAGTCCCTAGACTTTTGGTTTTCTTCTGTCCCACAACCTACCACTCAGGAGATTGAGTCAGAAGCACTCCAAGGTCAAAGTTAGCCTAAGCTACATAATGAGACACTGACTCAAACAACAACAACAAACCAAAAAGGCTTATGTGCCCCCTGGTGTTGAGGACCGGCCTTCCTTAATCTTACGTCTACATCCTTTTCCATTTCTTTGAACATTTTAAAATTAAGTTACTTTGAGATAATTTTACAGCTACAGAGTGGCAAGAGTAGTACAAAGAACCATATTCTTTTTACCAGAGTCAGTTGTTACCATGTGCCATTTTTGCTGTGTGTTGGGTTGTGTCTCTGAACTCCCTTGAGAACAAACTGTAGACATGAAGCCTCCAGACGTTGGGCAGGCAATCTGGTAACCTCAAAGGAAGCCCCCGACAACACTCCAGAGATCCACTAGGGGCCAACCCCACCTCCAGTACACAGACCCTGCAACACTCCAGAGATCCACTAGGGACCAACTCTCCAATGCACAGACCCTGCAACACTCCAGAGATCCACTAGGGACCAACCCCCCCTCCAATGCACAGACCCTGCAACACTCCAGAGATCCACTTGGGACCAACCCCCCCTCCAATGCACAGACCCTGCAACACTCCAGAGATCCACTAGGGACCAACCCTCCCTCCAATGCACAGACCCTGCAACACTCCAGAGATCCACTTGGGACCAACCCTCCCTCCAATGCACAGACCCTGCAACACTCCAGAGATCCACTTGGGACCAACCCCCCCTCCAGTGCACAGACCCTGCATCACTCCAGAGATCCACTTGGGACCAACCCCACCTCCAGTGCACAGACCCTGCCTGTCTTCTGCTGTTGTCTCAACAGCAGCATCCTTTTGCTTTCTGGTCTACTGTCATTCTAGAAACACCTCTCACATCTAGTTGTCTGGTTGCTTCAGTATTCTTCATCCTAGCACAGCAAAGCCTCAGTCTCTCCCTATAACTTATGCTCTGGCCAGTTTTAGAGATCAGTGCTTTCATTCTGTTGGATTAGTATGCTCCACTATAATTGCAGACTATTTCTGACCCCGTGTGTGTGTGTGTGTGTGTGTGTGTGTGTGTGTGTGTGTGTGTGATACCAGCCCAAATCCAGGTCTTCAGACAGAAATGAACTATTCACCTTGACAGCTACCCGGAGTTAGCATCAGGTCCCACAGATTAAGAATGCAGTCTCCTAACCTGCTTTTATTGAAGGTGCTAATCCCTATCCTTGGCTCTCCCGTGCTTTGGATAGACCAACTCTAAGTATGGGTTTCTATGATTCCTTTCTTGGGCCTGATGATCTGTGAGAATGTCTCACAGATCTTGAGGATAGTGTGCTGGGTAGTTTTATGTCAACTTGACACAAGCTAAAGTCATCACAGGGCAGGGGACCTCAAAGAGGAAAATGTCTCTATAAGAGCAGGCTGTTTGCAAGCTTATGGAGGCATTTTGTTAATTAGTGATTGATGGGGGAGGGCCCAGACCATTGTGGGTGGTGCTGTCCCTGGGCTGGTGGCCCTGGGTTCTCTAAGAAAGCAGACTGAGCAAGCCAGGGTTGGTTGCACTCCTTCATGACCTCTGCATCAGCTCCAGGTTACTGCCCTGTCTGAGTTCCTGTCTTGACTTCCCTGGAAGTGCACGTCAAATCAACCCTTTCCTTCCCAGCTTTCTTTTGGCAGTGGTGTTTCATCGCAGCAATAGAAGCCCTATGACAGATAGTTTACTTAATGTGTGTGTATACAAATACACACACGTTCCTGCTAGGGCTTGACCCCTCAGCATGTTGAACACATATGTCACCACTCAGCTGCATCTGAAGTCTTCTTGGTATCTTATTTTGTCAAGATAGGGTCTCTCTGTGTAGCCCTGGCTGTCCTGGAACTCACTCTGTAGACCAGGCTGGCCTTGAACTCACAGAGATCTGCCTGCCTCTGCCATCTTAGTATTGTTTTAATGCTTGACTTATCCCAGATTTGGTCAGAAGCAGCCTTGTGAAGATGGGTGTGGCATGTTTTTGACAAGTTTATATCATTTCTTAGTTTCCAGCCTGGAAGATACTTCAGATTCACCTTGCTCTTTCCCTGTCCTGTAAGTCCCTACATGGTAGGCCTGCAGAGTGGTGCTTAGAAACCAAGACTGAGGTAGTATCACTTTCTGGCCTGTTTATTATGCACAAATGTGTTGTTTTGTATATAATGAATGCTTTTATGTACAAATGTATTTGTCTCTATTTATATAGGTATGTCTGAAATTAATATTAATCTCCAAATGCAATCAACACTTCAGTGGTCTGTTTTTTTCTAGCAATTCCCCTCAGTGGGTCACATCTCTAACCTGGATTCCATAAGCCTGTGATTGTGGATCCCATTATCATCGATATATTAATGTTTTTGCTCAATTTTCTGTTTTTCCCATGTAAATTTTCTTCCTAGTCACAGTGGTTTCCTCCTCTGCACAACTCCCTGGCTGCCTTCTTGACCTTGGCATATACTAACACTCTCTGAGGTCCCCCCCACTGCCCTTCCTTGGTGCCAGAGCACACGCCACTCCTGGTCCCCTGCTCCAATCTCTCAACCCCCAGGCACTCAGAACCCTCCTCCAGCTGTTCCAGTTTTTTGTTCACATGCCTGTGCCTCTGTCCCCTCTGTCTGCTTCCTCAGTGTGGAGGGTACATGGATAACCAGGGGACAAAAGCCTTCCAATTCTTAGGTTATGCCAATATTAAAGTGTTAACACTTTAATAGGATTTTAATTCTCTGTGTCTTAATGCCTATTTTGCCTTATAAGATACCTTGTAGGTCTACAATTAGCATGTGCAGGGTTAAATGCCGCTGTCAGAAGGTCCAGTGAGACAAGGGAATGTGTGGTAAATGGCTTCAATTAAGTGTGTGGATCAAGTAGCATGTTCTAGAAGACCTGATGTTAAACATCACTATAATAGTTTGTTAATTAACTGAAAAGCATTCTTATTCCCAATAGGAGCTGTATACTCTAGCTGGGTTCAAGTGAAGTGTAAATTGCATATTCTATAACTACTTAATAAGCCTTCTCTTCTCACCTTTGACATACGCTAATGGGAGCTAACTGCCATCTTGGCAAAGACCGTGATTTAACCTCAACATCCTACCTTAAAAACCCTGGCCTCCCAGGGATTTTGTGTGACCCGTGGTGTGTTGTGAGTTCCCCACTAACCTGTTGATTTCTTTCTATGTAAAAGAAACCAGACAATGAAATGAAATGGCAGCAGGCAGACATGGGGAAGTCAAACTCCGAGTGTAAAAACTGGAAGATGCTAGTTAAGGTAAGCCTATCTATGTTCCTAAAACTGAATAGTGTGTCTTCTACTATTAGAAACACATGACCTAGCGTGTCTTTCCTGTCCCGTCCTTCTAAGAATATAGCTATATTGACTTTACTATCATTTCCTTTCCAAGAGCATACATCTATCCTTGTTTTATCGGAAGGGATTTCCTGCTGCCCTTCCCATAGGGCACTCATGAGGACAGCTTCATGGGCTCGCAGACACCATTCATACTAACTCCTGAGCCCTGATGTGATTTATTGAAGATAATTATTGATTGTGGAATTTCCTTCATGAAAAGTTTCTTGACTCTATTATAGATGATGAAATGTACAGGAAGGAGATGACACGCCCAAGAACACAGAGAAAGCTAGTAGAAAAACTGGAAATAGAATTTCTATTCTCAATTTCTATTCAGTTCTATTAAGTGACCAAGAGGGAGGAAAAGTGGCCTTAGTGATGAAATCGCTCCCCCTGGTGTCTGTTTGTAGGTATTGAAAGAAGACTTGGGCTGGGTAGCAAAAACCTCTCTCTGATTGATTGATTCCTTTGGTTGGTGGGCCCTTTCAATCACACACCAAGGCTCTGGTATACAGGTTGACACATCTAATCTTTGCAAATGAATTTCTGGAATTAGGAATTCCTAAGTGGATGGTAAAAAAGCCGAATCTAGCACCTTTTGATACTTGATTATAAAATGTATTATGATTTGAAAAGGAACCCTCCGTCCATGTTCCTAGTAGCCACATATTCTGCTAAGCTGGGTGTGGTGGCACACACTTCAGTCCCAGCTTTTGGAAGGCCTGGTTCGTGCAGGTTGTTTGAGGACAGCCACAGCTACATAGTGAGGCCGTGTCTCAAAACAAAGCAACAGCACTATTCTAAATCGTCAAAATTTAGCATTGCTAGATTTAATTTACTTTTACTTTTGGCCTTCGAGACAGTGTTTCTCTATGTAGCCCTGGATGTCCTGGAACTCACTCTGTAGACCAGGCTGGCCTCGAGAGAACTCACAGAGATCTGCTTGCCTCTGCTTCCTGGGTGCTGGGATTTAAGGCATGCATTGCCACCACCGCTACCTGGCTGCTAGATTTAACTTTTATCAGTGTGGTGGTGGGATGTGTTATCCATGATTGTAACTGGAATTTCTCTTATTGCTAATAAGATTGGGCTTCTTTTCTCATATTAATTGCTCATTTGTATTTTCCCACTTAGGAAATGACTGTTCGTGCGTGTCTTTTGCCCATTTTTATTAGATTGTGTAATTTATTGGTTTATAGGCATAGCTTAGATATTGTGGATACCAGTTGTTTGTTAGTGATGGATGTAGCACATACCTTTTTCTGGTTTTGGTTTGTCTTTTCAGTCTTTTAAACACATTTCTATGTCAAGAGGTGGTGGGGAAAGCTTTTAATCCCAGCTCCCGGAGGCAGAGGCAGTTGTCTCTCTGTGGGTTCGAGGCCAGCCTGGTCTACAAAGTCAGTCCCAGGACAGCCAGAGCTACCAGTCTTCAAAAACAAAAACAAAGAAAGTTTTGTTTTGAAATTACTTCAAATTTATAGAAAGTTCCCAAAGAGAACACCTGTGTGGTCTTCGTCTAGATTGTGGTTGTGGTATATGTGGGTTGAGATACTGGTGGGTGGCGGCAGGGGGGAGGGGGGACCTTGAGCATGGGCCAGCCAGAAGTTGGTGTTGAGTGTCTTTCTCAGTTGTTCTGGGTCTTAATTTTTTGAGACAGGGTCTCACTGAACCTGGAGTTTGCCATTTGGCTACAGTAGCTGCCACGGAGCTCCAGGGATCTGCTTGTCACTCTGCCCCTGCAGTGCTGGGCTTACAGATGGGCCATGGCTCCTCATGCCGGTGCTGGGGATCTGAACTGAGGGCCTCATGCTTGCTTGGCAAGCACTTTACCTACTGTGGCGGTTTGAATGAGGGTCATATATTTGAATGCTTGTGTTCCCCCTTAGCAACACTGTTTGGAAAGGATCAGGAGGTGTGGCCTTGTTGGGGATGTGTGTCATTGGTGGCAGGTTTTGAGATTTCAAAAGGCCATGCCATTCCTAGTCTTTCTCTCCGCCTTGTGCTTGTAGATAAGGATGTGGCTCTCAACTACTGCTCCAGTGCCGTGCCTACCTGCCTACTGCCATGCTCCCCTCCACGATGGTCATGGATTCTAATCCTCTGAAGCTGTGAGCCTCAAATAAATGCTTCTATAAGCTGCCTCGGTCACGGTGCCTTATCACAGCAACAGAAAAGCCACTAAGACACCCACTGAGCATCCCCACCCCCAGCCTCCAACATTAACGTTAGATTGTGACGAAACCCAAACACCGCCAGATCAGATGCCCTAGGCTGCACAGTTCACAGGCGCTTAGTGCATCCAGAATGTGGAAGCAGCACCCTGGTCTAAAGAAAAACTCCCATGTGCGGTGAAGCCGGCACTCCGCAGTCTCCTCCCTGGCCATGCTGCGGTTGCACACCTGCCCTCTGTCTCAGTGGCTATACCTCTCCTGGATAGTTCATGGACATTGAACCCTTTGGTGTGTGACTTTTTTTCTTCTTCTTTTTGGTATGAGTGCTCTGTCTGCATGTCTGCCTGCATGTCAGAAGAGGGCACCAGATCTCATTACAGATGGTTGTGAGTCACCAGGTGGTGAATTGAACTCAGGTCCTCTGGGAGAGCAGTTAGTGCTCTTAACTGCTGAGCTATCTCTCCAGCCCCCTTGTCTTGTCTTGTTTTCTGTCTCAAGTAGCTAAGTTTGGCCTTTTGCTGTCTATATAGCTGAGGATGGCCTTGAACTTCTGATACTCTATGGCTGAGTGCTGGGATTACAGATGTGTGCCATCTGCCTGGTTTTGGATTGAATTTGCCTTTGTGTATTCTAGGTAAGAACTCTACATCCCCGTCATTTACACACACACACACACACACACACACACACACACACACACACACACACACACCCCAGTGGTGAGGTCATTTGGCTTTGAATTTCTCTTATGGCTAGTGATATTTTGAAAGTTCCCGGTAGTGGGTTTCTCCACTGATGCAATAAGTCAAATTCAGTGGAACTAATAAGACCACGTTTAACATGCAGAATAAACAACCCCCACCTGGGTGATCTCAGGAGAAGCAGGAGGGAAATCATGGGACAAGTCCAGGGACTGGGTCTTTAATACCCCGCAGGCATGGCCTCCAGCATCTCAGGGGCAGGAGCTGCTGCTTTCTGAAGGCAGGATAGAGAGAGAGAGAGAGAGAGAGAGAGAGAGAGAGAGAGAGAGAGAGAGAGAGAGAGAGAGAGAGAGAGAGAGAGAGAGAGAGGCCCAAAGACGAGTTCCCAGCTAAATATCTGGGCAGGGTTTGGAATGGGGGAGTGAGAACAGAACGGAGATTCCCAACAGTACTGAGTGCATCTTCATGGGTTCACTGCTTGTTTCAATATCTTCCTCGTAAGAAAGAAAGTCTTTCCAAACCCTTTACTCACCTTTCTGTTTTGTTTTGCTCTTGTTCTGGTTGGTTGGTTTTGGTTTTTAGACAGGGTTTCTCTGTGCAGCCCTGGCTGGTCTACACTTTTCTGTGTAGACCAGGTTGGTCTTGAACTGGAGATCTAACTGCCATTGCCTCCCAAGTGCCACCATCATCCAGCTTCCTTAAAAGGGGATTTGATTCTTGTGTTTGTTGGGATGTCAAAACTCTTGACATATTACGATTTTTTTTGTCAGAAGTCTACCCCCCACCTTCTCCATGACGTCCTGTGGTGCAGAAGTCTTCACTGGATTTCTCCAGGCATTTCTGCTCTGATTCCCTTGGCCTCTTAATCTAGACGTCTTCTATCAAGTCTGGGCCATTTTCAGACATTATTTATTTGAGCCTCCTTTCAGGCTCCCTCCATCCTTCTCTTTCAGGGATTCTGAGACCCGGCTAATGTTTCTTGGTCTGTTCTCTCTGCTGTTTGGCAATTTCTATTTCTCTGTCTTGGAATTCACTGATTCATGTAGTGAGGCTTTCTTTTCTTCTAAATCATTTCTAAAATTCACACTTAGTTGTTTTCCGTACCTTCTGTTTCTCTGTAGAGAATCTTTTTCTGTTTGTCTCAGACATATTCAGTGAAGCACATTATAATGGTTGCTCTAGGCCCCTGGTGAGATAATTGCAGTGTCTGTACCTTCGCAGTGCTAGTGGCTATTTAGTCCGCGTTTACGGGCTTCTGGAGCCCAGACTAGTTCTCCCGCTGAGCCACCTGCCTGGCTGACCCTGAATCTCATATAAACCTTCTGCTTGGCGGACTGACTCTGAGGTGTCTGGGCTGCCAGATGCAGGTAAAAATCTAGATGAACCACTGGGGACACCTGGTGTGTGTGTGTGTGTGTGTGTGTGTGTGTGTGTGTGTGTAAGCTCCCATACACAGGTGTGAAGGTCTAGGCTCTGCTCACGTGGACTGTTTGGTTGTGGTGGGGCGGTTACCAACAGGACGTTTTCTATCTTAGTAGGCTGTGTCTTCACAGCTTTTCTGAGGGCTCTTTGGGAGGGCTGCTTCAACTGCCATTTCTAAGGTTACGGTTTCTCCAGCATGCTATTCTGAATATGTGAGGTAAGGAGGAAGTCCACAGACCCATCAGTGCTCTCTGCTCCTGTGGTCGGCCTTCCAACGGCTTTCTCCACAAAGACATTTGTATAGCGGTTTTATGCATAATATCTGGGGGTGTAGGGTGTCCCTGGTCAAGACATCCATATCCTCAACCATGGAACAGTCCATTCCTTTCCATCTCCAGTATTGTGCCTGCCACCTGTCAATTTTTCATAGATACACTTGTTTGTTTGATTGCTTTAAAAAAAAAAAAGAGTTAGACAGTGTCCTGCCTGCACACCAGAAGAGGGCACCAGATCTTATTATAGATAGTTACAAGTCACCATGTGGGAGCTGGGAGTTGAACCTGGGTCCTCTGGAAGAGCAGCCAGTGCTCTTACCTTTGAGTCATCTCTCCAGCCCTACTTGATT